AGCTCATACCGTAGTAGGCTGTGTATAAAAGAAAATGATTTACTTAGTTTGACAGTTGCACCATGACAAAGTGGCAGCGTATTCGTGATTTGTCCCACGCGCAAATGTCGCAAAAAGACATTTCAATCGCCGTGGGAAGGTCCCGGTGGATCGTCAAATGGGTTTTAGACCGAGAAAAGAAAGGACAACTATCCGCCAAGGTGGCCACAGGTCGTTCGAGGTCAGCTCGGGTTCCGAGGGTTATCGCTGCTATCAAAAAGAATTGATTGATTTAACTTTATTAGGGAGGCTTTCAGCCTGGGGCTGGTTCGCCTCCATTATCAAAAAGAAGATTCTGGTGATTCTAGTGCGTTTAATAAGGAAAATGGCAAACGAACACGGGATCAGTGACTTTACGGCACGGAAGATCGTAAAGGAGGGCACGGGAAAAAACTCACATGATTACCAACCGCATCCGGGAGCTACGAGTCGAACGATGCAAGAAAATCTTGAACTTCCTTAAGCGAAAAAATCCGGTAATCCTGTTCACCGACGAGAGCATGTTTACCGTCGATCCCTTATCAAATTCTAGAACCAACCGGTAGATTAGTTCTTTTACGGTAAAAGACGTGGCCGACGAGCACAAGAACGTGTATTTGACCAAGCATCCTGCTAGCTTTATGATGTTTGGATTGGTGGCTTCCGATGGCAAGAAAAAATGGACCCGGTGTTCATTCCAGAAGGCGACAAGGTCAACACGGAGGTCTACATCGGGATTTTAAGTAAGTATGTTATTCCGTGGATCAAAGAACAGTACGGTCCGAAGCCAAATGTTGTATTCAAACAAGATGGGGCTCCGTGCCACACCTCGAACCGCACTCAGAAGTGGTTCCAGGAACATCTTCCGTTCTGGGCGAAGGATATGTGGCCGCCATCCAGCCCCGATCTTAATCCGCTGGATTAATCAATATGGAGCGTCATCAAGGCCAAGGCCTGTTCTAAACGCCACCCGAGTACTGAAATTTTTGTTTACGAAATCTGATCATTCTAATGGATTTCTCAGACGATTTTCAAATAAAAATGTAATATCCTCCTCAAAGCGAATATTTATATCATTTGAATTCTCGCAAACTTCATTGACCATGCTTGGGAAAAAATCGGGAATCTTTATTGTTTATTCCAATTCCTTCAAAAATATATATTGAAATATTAGAAAAATTGATGGATTGATGGAAAATATATATAAATTTGGGAAACCCAAAATACCAGATGCGCTTAAAGATATGCTTAACTTACCCGCAAAAATGTTTGTAAATTTTTAAGTTTTTTTGGCTGAGCCTTTTGCGTTAAATTTATTGCCTTAAATGTGTGATTTTAACATTAACCCGATACCTTGACAGTTAAATGTACAACACCCATATAAGCGAAGAATTTAGTTCGTTTATCGATACCGTACTCCGAACAGTGTCGCGTACTATAGGTCTCTAAAACCGGCTATCTCGAAAAAAGCCTTGTTGATCCTGAGAAATACTGTACGAGCAGTCTTGAACCAACTTTTCCAGGACAATTAGCTCGAATAGTTTGGAGATAGCACTCAATGCAGCTATTTCGCGGTAATTGGCGACAGTCTGCTTGCATGCTTTTTTGTGAACAGGGAAAACAAACGAATCCTTCCAACATTCTGGAAAAACTCCGGAGGTCATTGACAAGTTGAAGACCTTAGCTAAGGGCTCTGAAAGAGTGTCTAAGCAACGTTTCAGCACAGACAAACAGACGTAACACTTCATTGTGTATCTTCGTTCACGCATTTAACGGTTGATTTAAATATTATCAGTTCCGCGAACTACTCGCCGCAGCGCTGGCATCGGATCACTTTGACGTTTCTATACATTCTATAGAACTTTTATGCAATATTGTTTGCGAGTTAGCGAGCAATCTTGTTTTCCGCGAGAAGCCAGAGAGATGTCGTTACTGAGGTCCTATGTTTTGAGATACTATGTTTTCAAGAAAAACTTTTTCAAAGTGTTACGTCTGTTTGTCTGTGGTTTCAGTACTAATGAGGGAATGCCATCTGGACCAGATCCTGTTGATGTTTTCATCTGTTTCCCGGCTGAAATCACCATGTCGCTGTGGATGGTGAATGGAGAACCAAACACCGACGTACGAGGGACATTACTCGTGGCAGCAGCAATTTCCTGAGCATCAAGAACTTCGTCTGAAAAAACGCTGCTGAATTGTGTGCGAAACATATTGGCGATATCTGCGACGGAGTTGGCATCAGTAACGCCATCAGTCATATTGGACGGCAATCCCGTTTCTTTCCGTTGCTCGTTCACATATCGCCAGAATTCCTTAGGATTAGCTTTGAGACGACTCTGCAAGTGAGACTGATGTGCGTTGTACAAGCTTGCATTGAGATCTCTGTACTCGTTGTTGGCGCGGACGTAATTAGCCTTCTTAGAATCTGTGTGATATTTACTGTGTTTCCTCAGTGCACAGTTCCACAGTGTTACTGTGGGGGATAAAAAGTCGAATCTACTTGTTTGCAGAGCCAATTTTACTAGTTTTGGGAGCCCTGGTCTATATATTTTATCGTGGGCCCCCTATTTGTTTTCAATTTTCAAATTCTACCTTCCATGGAATAAATAGACTTGTGATAAACCTTTTACGTATGAAGTTTTTTTTTTAAACCTGATTTTATTCTAACATATATTAAATCTTACTGAAATAAATTGTTATTAAAAATGTTGAATCCAAGTTTTATCCATATGTCGTTATAAATAATAAATTAAGTCTGGTTCATAGGATCCCTCAAATAATTTTTCATTAATTTAATTTAGAAACTGACTGCTATCTAGAGCATTTGGTGGGCATCATTGCATCCTGAGGATAATTCTCACTTTAACAAAAAAAAAAACGATTTCAGTGCATACATATGTATTTCATAAATTATTGAGTAGAGCTCATGCTTTTCAATAAAATGTGTAAGATGTTTACAATCACGAAACATGTTCACGACCTTTATGATTAATTCGAGCAATTTTATGACAGTTCATCATAAGTGCATCTTTTGAGAATAATTTTAAAATGTCGTGGAAAGCAATTTTTTCAAGAATAGATGTAAAAGGTAAACTTCATCATCTGCCGCTCAAAGGTAAATGCTTCGATCGAATTTGATAGCAAAGATTACATCCTCAGAAGGGAGGTTTGTGTATTTGCTCATTTTTCTTTGCGTTGCTTCCACTTTTGCTCGAGCGCAGCGCTACTGTGTCTGACGCTTAGATTCAGGCAAAGTTGCCAGTCTTCTTGATATGATGTCTTTGATTTTAGGCTAACTAATAGCACGAGATGATTTTGTAGTGCATTGCGAAAATTTATTACGAAACTTAACCAAACGTAAACATTACACAATTCAGTTAAATGCATATCACAAATTTCACCCACGTGGGTGGTTCAAGAGCTGTAAGTTGGTATTATTTTCTGAAAAGTAATTATAGGGATATTTGTTATTGGCTGGTTTACTTGTACATGGCTACAATTTTTGTTGTTGGTGAATTAAAATTAATAATTACCAGATACACACAATGGCACCACTGTAGAAAAAAAAATAGATTTCAGCATTTGATTGTACTTACAGAAAAAAAATGTCAGGTCTTCAGCATGCAGATTTGCATGTTTTGAGAATCTTTCAAGAATATACCAACATTCTATTTAAAATAGTAGTAATGAAGTATATTGGAGTAATGAATCATTTTTAAAAACTTTTAATCATTGAAACTCAATATCTCCTAAGCGAAACATATTGTTTGTTTTTCTCGTTAAGTGGTTGTTATGTCAAAATGTCAGCTGAACACTTTGGCGCTATACAAATTAAAGAAAAAGTAGAAGCATTTCAAGATATTTACATTTACAATTTTCATATTAAAAATCACAGAGTTTGCAACACGATTACAACATTTGATTGTGCGTTCAAAATGCTTTAATAAAGGTACGTAATGTCGATTGTTCCTTTATTGGTTCCAGAGATATGTAAACATAAAAATTAGTGTTTGTTTCAAATCGGTAAAAAGATTGCCACAAACTTTGATTTTTTTTAGTTTTGGTCTAAAATAAGTAGACCCACCAATTTTGGTCCAAATTGGAGAGAGGTGATATAATTGCTCGGTCACTTGAGATGGAATGACCCCTGTGGATCATATTTACTCATGTTTGGGATTAAAAATTTCCCTATATTTGGGTTTGTCCGCTTTACGTCCAATCTGGGTAAACTTGATTTATATACGGCTTATCTTATCTTGTAGAACCTTAGATATACCATACAATTTGAGAAAAATTCCACTTGAAAGGATCCTCAAAGGTAATGGCACCCACCACCACGGTAAGGTAATGGCACCACCATCTTGGTTTGTTTTATTACTAGTCACTTTTTGATAAAACTGCTTTAATTTTGTCTTTAAGGATACGCAAAGTTTAAACTGTGCCAACACTCCGTTCTTAGCGACGCTGGTGGTGTAGTGGTAAGCTTGATTGCCTATCACCCCAAAAGGCCTGGGTTCAATCCCAGTCGGCGCCACCGGGATGTTCTGAGGCATAAAATTCGGAATGGAAGTAAAGCCAAGCCGTTGGTCCCAGGTTCATGAGTTGATGATGGGTCGATAGATGGTAGGGTCCAGGTGTGGAAGCTGCATCTCTGGCGTCGGTAGCATTGGTACTCAGTACGAAAAACAAGATCGACAGAAAACAAATCATAGAAAGAAAAAAAAAAACACTCCGTTCTTCTATAGAGCTTCAAACAATAATAGCCTTAACATATAAACGGCATTGAAAGCTGTAAACATACGCTAAAAATACTATCGATGAATTTTCAAACACTGCTCTGCCCTGATGGGATTTTCTCCAGAGAAATTATTCGCACTTTCTCAATTTGAATAAATGAGTTATTGCGCTTGTTGAAAGATGACTTAAAATCTACTTAAAAGCGTAATAGTTAATTCAAGCATTCTTCTATAAGCGACACATACATCTAGCTATGTAACTGGCTTCCGATGACGCTGCATAGGATGAATTCTTGCCGGCTGATGAGGATGACGACTTGGATACTCGGCGGTAGTATTTACGTTTGCGTTGCGGATTCAGATGATTCCGCTCCTTGCTGTGTATTTTCAGAAGTAGTTTCATGATTCACTACTATAACTGCTCGCATCAGTACTTAGACACTAGGGTATTTTTGATGGCACCCTTCACACATAATCAACTATGTCACCATTGCTCACTCATTGCTGATTTCACTCTACTAATGGATTTATGGATTAAAAAGTACTGCCCACTGCGAAATGACTAGTCCAACATGATTTAAATTGAATTAGTGGTACAGTATCCTATGAACTTCACACAACGCTCGTTTTGTTCGTGCACTTTGTCATACTACACTACACGGTGTCAATCATACACGTTCTGCATTCACGTGCCCATCAGCTATTTGTGTGCTTCTTAGATTATGAGTATCACTTTTCAGTTACAATTTTGGACTATTCGGATCGACGGTCGACGAGTAAGTGACGCTTCCTCGTCTGTTTGTTTAGTTAATCTGATGTAGGGGCGACTTGATAAACACAAATCGTGCTTTTGCGTAGTGGCGGCATGGCTCTGCGCGTATCGCACCATGTAGACTCGCTGTCCGCCTTCTTCGTGTTTGGGTTTGACCGGTGCACAGAGGAGTAACTAGGGCAAAATGCTGGCCATAATTATTTACTGCTATTTTGAGTGGCATTTGGCAATGAAACAATGTAAACGCTAGAAATAATTGATTAAATCAAATAAAAATAAACAAAAAGCAAAATTTTTCGAATTTTTGTAAAATTATGGAAAACATGCAGCTTTCAACAGGCTCGCAAATGCCAATCCGGACGAATCTGGATGCGTTCCCAATAACTTGACGTTTCATTCGTCCATCGATTGTAGGATAGTACCTAGCAATACTCAACAACATTTTTAACATTGTAAAAGTACAAAAAATCCGAAAAATCATATTTTTTTTAAAACAAGATAAACCGCTCATCAATTAATTTGCATTGAATACATGTAACATTTTCTGAGAAGTATTGTGTATTGATTATTTTGTTTACCTCTGGTAAGTGCAGTTACTAAATGGTTGATTTTTGATTAAAATAAAGTCATAAACTATGTCAATGTTTAAACACTTCCCAAAATTTGCACATATCATTAAATGTATTTTAAACAATGCCATTTATTTAAGTACACAACAAAATGTAGCAACATAGAAATCCTTTAAAAAAGGTTTATGCCTATTTTGGCCAGGGTTTTGTTCTAGTTATTCCTCTGTGCGGCGATGAAAATGAGAACGGATGCATTCGCTGGAACGTGCAAAACACTACACATAAGTCAAAACTCGTGAGCCGCGGTTGTCTGTTTGCATGTGTAGTATGTATTACAGTACACATTACAGAACACAACCTACAGAGGAAGACGAATTGTTGCAAAACAGGGTTGAAATATATACGAATTAATAACGAAACTTCAGCAATTGAAATCAAGGTGGAAAGATGCTTCTTTTTCAATTACCTACTGAATACACTCTGAACAATCAAGCAGCTTTGTATTTCAGAACTAATAGGGTAGAGAACTACTTCGGCCTAATCGCCTATTTTGGGCCTATCGTGCAGAACACTTCAAATAAATCCATGATTTCAGAGTTAACAAGTCAATTATGCGTTTGGTACGATACTTTAGCTAATAAGCTACCGAACGAAGTCAATGAGAACGCGTGGTATGAAGGTTTGCACCCATTATTCCCAAAAACAAAAGAAGCGCTCCAACCGAATCAATTTTTATCTTCATCCGATAGGCCGAAGTGAATTCTTTGGCGTTTCAATTGAGCATTTCTAGCTCAAATCGTTAAAAAAAAATGTCAATTTTGTCTCGACCCCTTCTGATTTGAATGAAACATTGCTCACGTGTTCGCTGCTACTAATGGTTGCATTTTTCATTTAAATATGATTTTTTCCTCCAGAGTAACTTTTGAAAAGGGCGTATAAAAAAATTGATTATTTTTTATTCAAAAAACCATAACTTGAAAACTATTGATCTGATCAAAACGGCATATGAGAAGAAGTTTTAGGTAATTAAATTATCTTTGCGGAAAAAATACACTGAAAGAAAAAACTTCGTAAATTAGTATTTAAAAAACGTAAAACGATGATTATCTCAAAACACCCCCCCTTCGATCTTTATAATTTTTTTTTCAAGAAAATTGATGAAATACCCTTGAATTTCGTTTTCAAAAGTTACTCTGGAGGAAAAAATAATATTTAAATGAAAAATGCAACCATTAGTAGCAGCGAACACGTGAGAAATGTTACATTCAAATCGGAAACACTCATGACCAACCGGTTTGCGTTTTGGGCTGGAAATGCTCTCTCTGGAAGCTTTGCGTATAATATTCTTCGATTCAATTTTGGAGTCGGTGAAGTATAAGTCGATAAAGCAGAATATTGTACAACATTGAACTACACTGAGGCAAATAGACTTAAGAATTCCATAAGGCTCGACTTATGAACAAACATATATGAATTTCATAAGCGTGACTTATCAATGATTTTCGGTTAACATATGAAGTAGCTTTTATTCGCCTTAAACCGTTTCATTTTCCCAAGCGTTGAAAGACGGGTAATCTCAACGTCCAATTTTCCGGTTCCAGTATCAACATTATTTTTCATCAGGTAAATCAATGAAATTCAAACTCATTTCTTATAGCTAAAATTCATAAGTGTTTCTTATGGAATTGTTACGTTCTTTTGCCTGCATGTATATGATGTGCAAAGCTATTGATATTACCATGTGAGGCACATAAACTCCAAGTGAGTCACTATTCGAGCCAATAGTGTTGAGACAATGGAAATGAGTGTGCTTCACAATAAGAGCTCAGTTAAGTGTGAGACACATGATGATTTTTTTCCTTGATTTGTTTTCCGTGCTGAGCACCAATGCTACCGACGCCAGGAAGGCAGCTCCCACACCTGTACCCTACCTATCGACCCATCAATTCATAGTTAAAGCAAATGTCAATGAAAAACAGAATCACTAACATGCACATGGACATAGGAAACCATGTTGAAGCTCTCAATACAGACTTCAGCAAGGCGTTTGATCGTATCACACGTACCCAACCGTACAAGCCGAGCAACAGACCACTCGAGATCGAGGCCCCACGCCGGGAAGCAAACGAAAATCGATGAAAATAAATGTATAAGAACATTTTCCACTGGAACGTACTCACCAAATCTCAAAATTACATAATGTCCGAGAGCGCATTGCCGATGCTTCAATGCATTTCCACAAGCCAAATCTAAAACTGCACGGTAGTAGGATACGATCAGCGAATCCAAACACATAAAGCAAACTAAGATAAAGACAAAACGCTTGCTACTACTACAACGATAATAGGCCCGTAGCCAAGATTTGGTTTTGGGAGCTAATTTTATGACATAAAAATTCCGATGCTTCATAAAATGTGCGCATAACTAAACATCAAATGATACAGAGTCACGATACATATGTTAATTTATTGTCTTTTTTTTACCTTCACCAAAATCGTTCAAATTCATGCGTCGTCATTTTATTTTTTTATTAATTCGTTTTAATCTTTGATCGGAATTTTCAATGAACCATCAGAATGTAAAATAATAATTTTTCAAAAGAAGAACAGCGGATACTGTTGCCTTCATCATTCTGTATGCTTTTTATGTTTTTGTTTGGCTATCACTGTATTTTTGTTTTGTTTTTGAAGTGATCGTTTTTCTGTAATATTTTGTATTGTTCCAGTTAGCTATATAAGTGCAAATATTCAATGTAATTAGATTAAGTTTGAATTTGACCTCCGATCAGGGTAATAAATAGAGAAAGTGATGTATTCTTTTACTTCATTTCAATCAATTGCCGATCTCCAAACTGCTGTCCAGAAATCTGAGCAATAAATTAAACACAACGTAGGGCCACATCCTGGAAGATTACAGAAGTAATCTTTTAGCTTTACTCTTTGCTAGTATATCAAACACGTGGTTTGGGTCAATGGCATAATCCCAGTTAATTAATATTTTAGCCAAGCCCGAATGTTGCTGGTTAGTTTGAATTCATTTCAGTGTGGAGAAAGATCTCTCCACACTGGCTGTAGTAACCGGGAGTGTCGCCAAAATCGTCAACACAAGATTGATTGTTGGAAAATACGTCGAGTCACATTTATCAAGCACCCCGAATGCCTCAACATTCTTGTTAATATTTATGTATGTAGGGCACCAGAGCTCGTATTCCACCTTTACTGCAACCACGCTGGTAAAATCACCGAAATAACAGTTAAGTTTGTCAAGTTAGGATGACTCTCCAATATCTGTAAAACCAGGCAACAAATAAATGACATTTCATTGTTTACAAGGTACATCGGCAAAATAAATGCAAATTTTCAGTAATAATCTGATAGTAATTACCGGAAACTTGTAGTTTTTTGACAGACAGAAGAAAATTAAAGCAATTTTACAGATTCTGTAAAAATGAATTTTACAGATCAAAACCGTAAAAAATATACCGAACATCAAAACTAGAATTTGGTGTGTAGCTTGATCGGAGTTGTAGAAGGATAATGGTTTATTGCTTGTCTGCTTTGTTGCAATATACACGGTTGAGGACATAGTTTGATCGGAATCGAGAAGAGACATAACTAAAAAAATCCCATTAACACACATTGTTGGCAAGCTGCTTCACGAACCAACACGAGCCAACAATTTGGTCGATTCCTTCTACCCAGGGTGGCCAGATTATTTTTTTCGTTATCGGTAGCATCTCAAAACTTTTATCGGTAGTTATCGGTAGGCCGTCTGAAGAAAGCTTTCCCGATACTTGAAACCTTTGTGAGCGGGGGGGGGGGGGGGGTCTGTCCTTCAGTTCTTCTGTTTTAAACGTGTCGAAATCAATATTTCTAATTCTAATGCTAAGAATTCAGCCATAACATTTGATAACGGCACAAAAGTATTTGTAAACAAACTTTCTAAGGCCCTTTACACGCAAGCCAACAACATCATCGGATAGGGCAACTACCACCTTTCCGAAAGTGGTATTGGTTTGCGTGGGCGTACTTTGGTTCGCGTGTAAAGGGCCTTAGAAAGATTGTTTACAAATGCTTTTGTGCCGTTATCAAATGTTATGCCTGATACAAGGAAAACAACACATAGGTATTGAACATTTTTCAAGATTACCAAAAATCTGTGATTCTCGGTAGGAAAAGTGAAAAATCGGTAGTTTTTAACCTTTTGTCTGTGAATCGGTAGGCATCCCAAAAATCGGTAGGACTACCGATAAATCGGTCTGGCCACCCTGCTTCTACCGACCCGAGTGAACTACATATTGCAAAGGCATATATTGCAAAGGCCGTTTGTAATGAAAACAAAATAAAAGGGTATGTGCCTAGGGGCACGAACGGAAGCTTGACGTAGGACCGCTAGTGGATGGAACAAATGTGAAGCGCATTTAGTTCTTTTAATTGATCGATCATCTATTATCTTAAATCTTTCCGATTTTGAATATTAGGTATACCAAATTTGTAGTATTTTTTTCAAAGGGAAAGTTGATGAAGAGAATCGATCCAAATCATTGGGGGTGCTTCCAAGTTTGGTTGCAAG